CACAGGCCCCTGCCTTTGCAAGTGCCTATGTGCCACATTGCTGCGTGCACAAGTTGAACTTGTTTCGCTGCTACTGCTTGGTGCTCACATGCTTCAGCTGTCCGTCTTACAAGCTGCATGTCATGTTCCTGCCACAGCCTTGGCATTTGAACCGCTGAAGACACACAGGGCACATCTATGCATTACATGTCCTGCCCAACCCAGCACAGAGCTGCTCCAAAAACACGAGCCTTGCTGGCTGACTGCTGAAAACATGAGCCTGCTGGCTGATTGCAAACAAACATAAAGGCAAAGCTTATTGCTTGAACTGGCCATGAATAGCTGGCAATGCAAGCTGTGCTTTTTCCATATCTAAGCGGCCTGCTGTCTAAACTGCACTTGTCCACGGCCTTGTACAATTTAATCAAATCTGCACTGGTTGCTTGACACTGCAAATGGAATCTCTTGCAGGCAGCTTCCAACAGGCTCGTGCTTGCAGCAGGGTCCTTGCAAAGGCTGACTGCACCAATGGACATCAGCACTAACTGCTTGGCTTTGAACTTCGTCTGGCTGACAACTCCTGGAGGGTGGTTGCTGAACATGATGTCCTCTTCTGAAGGCTGCTTCCCATTCATGAATGCTTGCACCAGGGCTAGCTGAGCCTTGCTCACTGCCTCCATCTCTTGCAAAGCTTCTGAGTTTTGTGGCAACAGCCCTTTGGCAACAGAGCTTGGGCAAGCTGTCTGTTCTTTCTGCTTGCTAGGCCTCATGCTCTTCAAGTTGTCCAGCTTGACCACCACTTCCTCTGCAGCCCCTAGCAAGGGTGTGTAGCTAGCAAGGGTGTGTAAACAAAGAGAGCACCTTCATTGTCAACCTTCACAAGCTTCAGCACTTTACCACCTTGCTGGCTGCAAGTGTACAAGTTGCCAATTGTGATGTGCTTATTCAGCACAAGTGCAGTGTGGGCAGGGCTGCTTTCAAGCAAGTTCTCTGGCAAGCCTGCGTCCTTCTTGGCTTTGGAGGGGCTGCAGTGGCTTTTCCTGCTTGCCTTTGGTTGCTTGATCTCCTCTGCAAAAGCCTTGCTGATGGCAGCAACGCTGGGCCATCCAGCTGGCTCTCTGCCGTGCTTCTCTTTGCTGGCCAAGTGAAGGACTGTCCTGATGCACACGCGGCCAAATGCTGCAGTGCTGTGCTCCTGGCTGGCCTTTTCCATCAGGCCCACCCTGCACAGAGCACATTCTCTGCTTCCTCCACCTTGGCCAGCACGCTCTTCATCTTGTCCACATCACTCTTTGTCAGCAACTTGCTGATCCCATCACAATGCTTGGGCGAGGAGGTCTTCATCGTGAACTCTGCATAGGCAATGCTGGAAAAGAACTCTTCACCAATCAGCAAGGAATGCCCATATGACTTGCTGACTTCCTTCAAAATGTGATCAAAGGAAACTTGTCCCCGCCACCTTCTAGCCTGACATAGTGTCCTATGGTGGGCAGATAGCTTGCACACCTGGGCTGCCCTGCTGCAGCCTGTTGCACTGCCTTGTTCAGATCTTTGCACAAGCTGTAGTTCTGGGCAATCTGGCATCCAATCTCCAGCTCACCTGTCACAACTGTGGCAGAACTGGTGCAATTGAGTGCTCTCTCGTGCATAGCAGGCAAGGCTGGGAAGACATCTTCCACCTCATAGCTGATCACCAGCCACTGCCAGCCTTCTCTGCAAAGCTTTTCAAAAATGTGTCCTTCACCATTGCCCTCCACCACCTGTTGCATGCTCAGGCTTTTTCCACCTGGGGACATGCAGTTTCCCTGCGCTGCCCTGAAGAAAGCAGTGCTTTGACTGGCACCCACAGTCAAATACCTCTCTGACCCTTTGCATTCTGCCAACATCCCAGAGCTGTGTTTCTGCAAGGCCACATTGGCATCCAGTTGCTTCTGCCTCTTGCTGGGCTCCACTGCCAAAGCAAACAGAGCTGGCAGCCAAGAGGTCTTCCTTCAATTTGCTGTCCCTTGCTGTGAACATCATAGGCATTCACCATTGTGCCTCCTCTGTTCATGGGGTGTGTCAAAAGGGCACTCGGGGCTAGCACCTGCTTGTAAGCCAGGCTGTTGCTGGGCAAGGTTTGTGAGACCATACTGGCTTTGGTGAGCCCCATTCTGCTGTCCTCCATGTCAAGAATCCTCTGCACCTCCTCAACCACATGCTTTGCAAGCATGGCTGGTTGCAACTGGCTGCTGGCAGCCTCTACTTCTTTATTGTTGCATGAATGATGGCTCTTTGCTGATCATGCATGGTGCCTGTCCATGTGCAGTTGCTTTTCGTATGCACATCTTTCTTGAACACACAAGGCATGTTGCAGAACAGATTGCACCTGTGCATACACTTGAGCTGCATGAGCTGACTGCAACCTTACCTGCCTGCTCTTTTGCATTGCTTGTACCAGCACAGCCCAGCCTGCACACACAGCCTACCCAATGAACCACCTGGGCCTCTTGAGCTGACAACAAGCCATGAGCTGAACTGTTAGCTGACTCTGTGCGAATGGCAAGTTCACCTGCTAGACTGGCAACACAGGCAATGCTTTTTGAGCATTGCCACCACGCATGGCAATTGGCACTTACATGTGCAAAGCTGCCCAGACTTCACACGTGCTGCCTTCATAGTCATCACATTTGCAAGCCTTACACACGGCCTTGCATTTGGCCATGTCACTTCTGCTGAGCCATTCTTTTAAGCAAAGCATCCAGCATGACAAGCAGGCGTGGTCCTGTGAGAACACTGCAAGTGCATCTTTCAACTGTTGCGCAGAGAACTTGGAAGGCAGGACTTGCTGCAGCTCCTTGGCAACATACATAGCGGGGGCTCGTGCGAAGGTGCCTTCTTGAGCCACTATAGCGCTGAAAAACCCATCAAAAACATGATGCTAATTTTTAGCTAATTATTAGCTAGTGACCTGCTAATTAGTAGCTAAATTCCATCAAAATTATGTTAATTAGCAAATAATTATAATTGACTGAAGAGCTTGCAATAATTAGGCAAATTAGTATGGCCTTAGCATGGCTTTAACATAGTGCTAATATAGTGCTGCTAATTGACTATAAAAACTTATGACTCCTAGCAATTGCACAGCCCATCTAAGCAGAGGGTTCATCCCGCCAGCGCCCGCCAGATCCACCCCCGGCTAAGAAAGAAGATAGAATTCAAGGCTGCGAGCTTCGGCTGGGTAAGCTAGGCTGTGTAAGTCAGGCTGCGTAAGCTAGGCTGCGTAAGTCAGGCTGCGTGAGCTAGGCTGCGTAAGTCAGGCTGCGTAAGCTAGGCTGCGTAAGTCAGGCTGCGTAAGCTAGGCTGCGTAAGTCAGGCTGCGTAACTCAGGCTGCGCAAGTCAGGCTGCGTAGGTCAGGCTGCGTAAGTCAGAGCTAGGCTGCGTAAGTCAGGCTGCGTAAGTCAGGCTGCGTAAGTATAGTCAGTTTGAGTAAGTCACGCTGTGTTAGCTAGGCTGCGTGAGTAAGTCACGCTATGTACGCTAGGCTGCGTAAGTCAGCTGTGTACTCGATAGGTTTTTTCCACTTAGGACCAACTCGCCATACTTATAAGTTTCTTAACATCAACTTATGTTAAGTCGGTTATAAGTTACGTACGACCAACTTAGGCCGAGGTTATAAGTAGGACCTAAGTAGTTTTTGTTGGGTGGCTTTTCTGCTTTTAGAGGATGGGCCTTTCCCCAAAAAAACCTTCGAAAGAGCATTTTTTGCAAATCAGGAAGGGCAGCGCCTTGTGTTTGCGTCTTTTGCACACAGACTCGCCGGCATCTCGAGTTTGCACTGACAAAGCAAGGGCTTCGGTGCTTCCACGGCAGCGGGCTGAACCGTGCAGCGCGGGGATGCGTCCATGGCCCTATGCAGCAGCAAGAAAAGCTTCAATTTCTCCTTTGTTCCACGCAGCGCTCGGAATATACAAATACTTGTGAGTTCTTGCCCGCGGGCCAAAACGCGGGCCGACTTTGGGCCGACGTACAACGGAATGTACTGGGTTCGCGTGAAATACGTGGGCCGACAGAGGCCGACACAAAAAACTCAGAAACCACAAGTTTTTGGGGCGAGCCGACACCGGGCCGACAACTCTCCCACTGTCCCGTTTCCAAGGTTTTCCCCGGGCCGACAAAGGCCGACAGAAAGCCGACGCACCCCCTTGTTTACAAAAACCAAGAAAATTATGCCCTGCCTAAGGAAAAACTCCCAAAAAAGGTCTCCCTTACAACACTTTCCCTTCCCCCACGCCCCTCCCCCGAACAGCTAGTCTTCGGCCCTGCGTGTGCCGTGGCCACCATCCTGCGGCAGCTATGCCGCAGCGTGGCCGAAAATTTGATGTGGAGCGCCGTGCGAGCCGATGCTATGCGCTTCTGTAAATTTCGAGCCTTGGGCCAATGTTTCCGGAAGGCGCGGTGTGCAAAAAACAGTGGACCTAAGACGAACCTAAACCGAACCTAAGTCGAACCTAACTTTTTGGGCTGAACTTATGCTAAGTCGGGTATGCTAAGTCGGGTAAGTTGAACCTAACTAACTTACGGCTAACTCCGAGTTACACTTAGGTTCTACTTAGGGTTCCACTTAACCAACTTATAACCTATGTTACCTAACTTATAACCTATGGTATAAGTAGGGTAAGTCGACCCTAAGTTGATTAAGTCTATTGAGTAGTCGGCAACCGTTTTTTTCCAAAGATCCCTTCGCGATGCTTTCGGGAAAAACAATTCCAATAACAATAGGGTACAAATATTGATAATAATAATGATAATAGCAATGATAGTAATGATATACCAATATACTAATCACAATGATACTGATTTCAACAATAACAATACCAAACAATAGTCATAAGGAGCAGACAGTACTGACAAGGACAGACGCGACAGATCATGAGAGTCAGCAGAATGACATGTTCCCTATTTAGACAAGAGCAGCACGAAGATCTAGAAGAACCTCACAAACACACAACGGACTACGATAATTGTATGAGTATCTCAGGCTCCACGAGCCACGACCTCATCGCCTTTCGTGCGGATGCTGAGGCACAGCAGCGTGCCTTGTCACTGATTGGATCTGCGCCATGTTGGCTTTTGCTTTGGTTGCCATGGTAACATCGGCGCTTTCTTGCCCCTCAAGTTCACTCCGTTCACTCCATCCTCTGAACAGAGTCCGCAACCTGAAAATGGGCTTGTGCCATTTGCTCGCTTCGAAAATGCAAATCTCCCTCAATCCACGCTCAGGAATTTTGAACATGAGGCGGCCTTAGTGGGGGCAACTGCTGATGCAGGGGCTGTTTTCAAGTGCTCGCATCGCAAAAGGTAGAGGCTGCAGAGAGTGCAAATTCAAGTTATTCAAGTTTCACGCACTGCGTGACTCCTTCAACGTATGCTGAGGGACTTTCAAAATGTGTTTTTTGCGGCTTTAGCGGGAGCAACTGCTCATCCTGGTCTGAGATATCCGACCATTCCTGGCCCAATACTTCACAGAGCCGATTGCGAGTTAAAGCGCCACAATCCGATTCCACGTGCATCGTCAGACCAAAATGGGCTGAGGGTTTCGTTCATGTCAGTGTTGACCAAGAACCGGCGTAGGAGCGACCCTCAACTAATGGACCTCCTTGGCTGGTCTATTTCGCGATCGCCCCATATAGGAACATGCTTGGCCTCTGAAATGTGTAGTGATTCTTTGAGGCTTGGGCGGGGGGTTCAGAACAACCATGATTATCCCCAACAAGCCGGGGGTGTAGGTAGATCTTGTGTCGCCCAATTCGTATTCGTGTCCTATCCGCGTAAGACTGGGCGGCTGCGTTTTGCTGGCCCTGTTCTGAAAAATGCGGGAAACCCTATTCAACTACCATTCAGATCGAGTCATTTTGACGCCTTTTCTAAAAGGTGCTAGACTGGAACTAACCCGCAGAGTTTTTGCTTGTTTGTTTTGTTGAAGGTACTGGAGGCTCAGCGCCCCACACATTCTGCCACATGAGAGGCGCACCCGCTTGAGAGCACACGCTCAGCTAGTACCGCGCACATGCTTGCCAGCCCAAGATCGCAGGCTCAGCTGCACCTGCGCACATGCGTGCCACATAATACGCACACTCGCTCAAGAGCACACGCTCAGCACTGCGCGTCCTGCCGCCTGATAAGGACACTCGCTCAAGAGCGGACACCTGTCGCATGATGCACAGCTGCTCAAGGGCAGATGCTCAGGACCGCACACATGCGTGCCAAAATGAGAGTCTTATCAGCACCTGGAGTCCGCAGAACCCACGCCCAAGTGCACACCCGCGCCACAAAACAAAGAGCCACGTGCAAGTCAACGCCCGCGCAACGCCTGGCAGAACTGCAAAGCTGTTTTCTTGGGTCTCACCCAGACACGCTTCTCGTTGCAAAATTGCCTTTACGTGTCTAAGGCGCTGGTAGCCTTTTGAGAGAGATCGATGCCCGTGCTTTTTGCTTTTTGCAGGGAGACTTTGGTTCTGAAATCCTCATGCAGGGGTAGACCTACTTGCGTTTGAACGCGCCAATTCTTGCCAAGGAAATCTCCAGGTGGAGGTGGTGCCTCTTTGCCAGCTGCTGTCCGAGGACGTACTGGCCGCCACAAGCGAAGGGGCTAAGCAAAACGCGGCAACTTCTTGCCAGATGGCAATCCCACATCTGTCTGGACAAGAAAAAAATGGTTGCGGAGACGCATATGGACTGCCTGGTTGAGAGGTGGGGGATTTCAACCCAGAATGACCCAGAGAATCCTTTTTTTCAAGTTTCCCTGTGGCTTGATAAGTGGAACAGGGGAACCGCAACCCCGCCCCAGTCCTGTTTGGATGTGTTTTTGTTGGCACCCAGTGGTCGCTTTTGAGACAGAGGATACGTTTTCAGAAGTGACGGGACCTGCTCCATGGTCGACACGGGCGTTCAGAGGGCAGGAGGAATATTGATATCTCTGCTTTTCAAAGGTGGGGTTTAGGAGGAGTGATATTTATTGTGTATCATGTGCACACATGAAACATCATATCTATGCATGAGTACATGCACATCCTACGTATAGAATTACGCGGGCCGGTTTACGGTTCGTTTTAGGCCGGTGTAGGCTTTGTTTAAGCTTGGTTTAGGGTTGGTATTGTTTTTTTTTTCTCTCTCTCTCTCTCAATCTTTTGAAACAAAAAGAAAGACAGTATGTCTTGAATAGTTTATTCATTTGCTTGTTTTTTGTTTATTCTTTATGATTTATATCCTTCTCGGGCTCCCCAGCCCTGCCCATTCAGTCCGCAAGGTGCGTCGAGCCAGCCTTGCTGGTGTGTATATATATATGAATGTATTCACGTACAGATGCACGCATGCGCATACATGCGTTTGACATCTGTACAAAATATGTACATGTACATGCGAATACGCATGCATTTTCTTGGGCCCGGGGAGGCACGTTTCTTCTCCAGGAGGAGGAGGCAGCAGCAGTGCTGTGCCCGGCCTTCGGGGGATCCTTCGGCCACTTGGCGGGGATCCTTCCCCCCCCGGCAGGTTTTTCGCCCCCTGGAAAATTGGAACTTGAGGTTGGTGCACTCAGAGAAATTCAAATCGAACTACGTGTCGCATCGTTTGAATGCAAACCATGTCGATGCCAGGTGTCAACTTTTGCGCGCTACTGTGCGAAGCGATTTAGCCACATATCGATGGTCATCCTCAGGCGTGAGCGGCCCGAGCCAGCCCCTTTGAGAGTCCCTTGCGTGCTCATAATGAGACTGTTGGAGGTAGGCGCCGCCCGCTCAAAATGAACACGCGCAGCATGTGAAGTGAAGACCTCAAGTCTTTGCTGTCAACATATACTGGCGGGTTGTCAATTCCGGCCACCTGGTGACAGTCGAGGCTACGGTCGACACCGTCACACTCCATAACAGCAGATCTTCATACAGCAGTCTTTTCGTATCCCACTGCAAGTCTGTTTCTCGGTGAATAGACAGAAGCAGCCCTACGCAGCAACTCTTGTGAAGTTTTGTCTTGGCAAGATTCCGACCCCACCGTCGACAAAGACGATGGCACAGGAGAATGACATACAAAATCCGGCTTTGTCTTTCAGCAGTAGTCGCATGGCTGGTTTTTCAACTGGCTAGCTCCACGGGTGCCCCAAATCTGGTGTAAGCCTGCTTGCGCCAGCGCCTTTACCACAGATGCGGACACGGGCGTCGCACTTCTGGTCGTGTTTGCTTGCCGCCTCGCGTTGCTCGCACAATGGCAAGCCACACGGGGACATAGGCGGCAACAACACGCCATCCAACGATGCTGACCGCTTACCCAGCCAATTGCCGCAGCTTTGCTGGGCGCGCTGCAACCAGGACAAGACTGCAGCCAAGCCTTGTGTGACATCTTCAGTAAGCAGTTAGACACCACTCTCCGCACCGAACCAGCATAGCGCCGTCTTGCACCAACTGGCTTCAGCGCAAGCAAACGTACTTGAACGAGGTTTTCCGGCTACTCGAATCGGACTGGCGGCGAATTTCCGAAACCACAGCAGCCTCTGTAGCTGACAGCCACCGAGTCACGCGCCAGCAAATGCTGCCATCAAACAAAGATGGAGGCGTTACAGCCTCCCCGCCATGTACTGCAGCATCACAGCAAAATGCAAAAGCATCCCACGCGTGCTACAGCACCTGATACACACACACACACCCTCAAACGGTATTATAGACCAATGGGCAGAGCGAGCGGCGCAACACCTTGTTGACAGTGTCGGCCTAGCGTATGGGACCAAAAGCCGACAGCAGCAGTGGACTTCCAAGCCAAAGCTTCGCAACTCAGCAGCAGCAGCGGGAATCCCCAACAATGTGTTTCTTTGGATGCTGCTCAGATGTTTGAAGAGACTCCCACGCACGCCGCGCTGGAATGGCTGAAGTGGTGACAAACACCAGCTAGGCAGCAAGGCATTACTCGTTCCAAGAAATACTGACACCGAACTCTACTCGCAGCAGCGTGACGAGGTAAAGTTCGAGGAAGACCCCAACAAACTGCGAGAACTTGGCCTACAAATTGACCGTTTGGGCAGCAAGCGTATATATTGTATGCGTTGACGATCTTGCGGGAGCCAGCAGGCAACTTTGCTTCGGGTGCCCCAAGAAAACAATTTTGCTGGTATACACCGAGCCAGTCCGCTTTGACGAAAGCCCAGAACAACAAATGATCACAACTTGGCTGGACTTTTGGATTTCTCTTTCGAGATGCGCCACACCGAAGAGCAGCGTGTACAGTCTTGTGGTAGCCTCCCCCCAAGCAAAACCTGTATCCCACCGTATCTGGGCAGTCAGTTTGTGGGCCCTTTTTTTGGTAGTGTGGTGGTGAACAAGATGATCTGCATCGAGCAATTGGGTTTGAATGAGCCGGAACTCCATCGAACCGTTTGCCGAGAAATCCAATTGGAGGTCCTAGCGAGATACCCTCGAGGTTTACTGCAACACGTGTTTTACAACCCTCGGGCAAATCACAAAGCAACCATGATCAGCGTGAGCATTTTCAAGAACTGGCAGGAAGAACTGCCACACTTTCAGCGCATCCAAGCCAGATGGGAGCTTAATGGCCGTTGCAGGGCATGGCCAGTCAACTGCTTGGGCTAATGACTGGACGCGGATCCTCCCAACATGTGTCCAGAAAGCAAGGAGCTTGCAGCAATTGTGTTGCAGACGAACAGACCAGCCCGAACGTGGACCTCAAGGCACATGCTCGACACGGTACCAAAATGGCCGAGGTTACAGCCAAGCTGGTTTCTGAACGCCGCGGCGCGGACACACCCATGCAGCATTCCTCCCATGAATGGGCTACACAGAAACGATCCAAGACCTAGAGGAGCCTTACCACATGGATGAGTGGATCAGGTCAGTGAGTCTCATGCTGACTCCCAGCCTTTTCGCAGAAGTTCCGCGCACTTGGAGGCGCGCAGGAAGCAGATCTTCGTGCTCTACATGGAGTTCCTGGCTTGACAAGCAGAGGAGCCGAGCGCAAGCAATATTGCACCTTGCAAGAACAGGGGCTACAATGCTGGGGCCGAAGGGGGCCTGAGTGATTTCTTTTTGGTGGAGGCCTCACAGACTAGCAACATGCGTTTGGTTGTTTGCTATATGGCTCCTCCACATGTGCCACTGACAGTTTGTGATGCCATCATCAGAGCCCAAAAAGAAGCAGCGCAACAGATTGCCAACGACGCTGTGTGGGCAGCTTCGTTGCGATATGTCGCATTTACTGCCGAGCCCTAGTGGCCTGACCAATGGGTTTGGCCAATGGATGGCGAGTAGCCTGAGCGCAAGTGGCCTTGTCCCCTGGCCTCCTGATATTTCATCAGCAGGGTGGGTTTTCCAATTTGATGCACTCAGAGAAATTCAGAGTGAACTATGTGTCGCATCGATTGAATGCAAACCATGTCGATGCCAGGTGTCAACCCTTGCGCGCTACGATTTAGCCAAATCTTGATGGTCATCCTCAGGCGTTAGTGGCCCGAGCCAGCCACTCAGGCCTCTGAGAGTCCCTCGCGTGTAGGCGCAAAATGAACATGCGCAAGTCTTTGCTGTCAAAATATACTTGAGGTTGGAACATGGTAGGATGGTAGGACCGGTAGGATGATTTCTTGTGTTCGACAAGGTAAAGGGAGTCGGGGTTGGCTGTTTGTTTTCGCCGGAGTTCTGGGTTTTCCCTTGCACTTGGGGGCTTATTTGCCCTCAATTGCTTCTGCTTCAAGTTCTGAATCAGGGTTTAACCTCAAGTGAGGCTCAACTATCTTCGGGATTTTCTCTAGGGGCCCGTGGATGAAATCTTTGAGTTTGCGGTTTCGCAAGTGAGGTAAATAAATGGTTTTCTACTTTCTCTCCCATGAAAATCAACGACCATGTCTGCGCTTCTGCCGAAAGTGACTTCCCATCTGCCACGGGCCCTGTCACTGTCCATGGTCGGACATCCTTAGAAGTCCCGTGAGGAGATGTTTGTCCTGCACCAAAAAAGACACCTCACGCGCGGCTAGGAATGCGTTCTGATGGGAGGATGTATTAGAACCTGGCCTGGGTCCCTTGCTAATCTAAGCCGCGTGTGGAAGCCAGAAGCTCAGCGCATGCAGGTGGACTCTTTGTATTCCACGATTCATACTTCCATTTTGGTGAGAACAATTTAGCGGGGCCCCGCAACTCCTTGATCAAACCTTGTGGTGACATCTCAGGGCAACATGCGCTGTGCTCCGCGGTGGAGCAGACCCTCAAGGAGGTGCAGGAGATGTGCGAATTGGAGATGGAAGGCACCAATGTGATTCCCGTTGGTCGCGCCAAAAACAGTGGAGACGGTGTTTCGTCCCTTCTTCGACACAAATCGTTTTGGTGTGTTTTTCTTTGGCCAGGGTGGACGAAAGGAGACGGAGATGTCACCATGAGCTACTCACTGGTTCGCAGCTGGACATATAGGCGTTTGCAAGAAACATATGCGGGTTGAAAGTTCAAGCGCGCATGTCCGACATATTTGCCTGAGCTGATCTGAGCCACTGGCGTCCATCCTCGTGAAGAATTATTTTGTCAAGGTTCTTTTAGATGTCCAGATTGTTGTCATGGTTGGTTCTCTAAGTTTCCGATTGGTCCATTTCAGATTTGCAATTTGCCCAGAAGGAAGACAGTATGTTCGAAGCGTGTTCCCAACGCGCCAAAGCCTATGTTTGACCCACACGTCTGATTGTGTCATGGCCCCAACCTTGCCGATTGGACGAAGCGGATTTTCCGACTGATTTCCCGTTTCAATGTTTGGACATAGCATCATGCAAAACTAACATTTTTGTTTTATCAAGGTCTGTTTGTTTTTGTGTCCGTGTTGCGCTTGTGAAATGCTGCTTTGGGCTCGATCCCGTCAATCCTGAAAGAGAGGGTGACAGCTGAATAAACTGAGTGAAGACGGGTTGGTCTCTGACTTCGCACTCTGGGTTGTGACGCACAGTGCACGCTGAGGCATGCTGGATTGTCGTTTTGCTTTGCCAAGATCCTCAAACGTTGTTACGCCTGTTTCTACGAATGATTGGTATAACGGGCTAAGTCAGCATGCCGATGTTGCTGGGTGTCTATCAACATCTGACAGAGTCAGCAACGACGGATCATTCAGCGAACCCTTTATTTCTTCCCTATAGTTGCTATTTCATTCCATTCGCTGGACCGTGCCAGTATTTTTGTCTTTCGGAAACATACCATTCTTTATATTACGCAGATCATGTGCTGGTGAGATTTGCCATAAGGAATGACCTGATTGGCACATACTTTTCGGAAGGAAACGGTTTATGCCTAATTTTCATGGGCTTTGGTGTGACGCCTTCTTTTGTTGAGGGTCCTTCTTGGGCTAATGGAAAACCCAACTGGAAGGTGCGAACTGGACACTCCATGTCACAGAGAGCCCTAATTATTTTGTGATTTCAGTTGCCCAAATCAAATTCATACCCAGTGACTGCCCAAACTATACCAACTCAAGGCGGACCTGAAAATTCAGATCATCTTTTTGGGGGGAACCCCAAGTTGGGTTGGGTTTCAACTTGGAACTACCGGTCGCCCACTTGAAACCCATGCGTCTTCCTCTTTGGCCATGGCCTGCTGCTTCGCCTTCCTCTCCGAGCCGCATGGCCGCGGGCGCAAGGACCGAAGTGTAGAGAGCGGTGGCTCCGGCGAGTGGCGAGAAATGGCGAGTGGCACTGGTTCAATGGGGGTCTAGCTGGACCCCTCAAAATGGAGGCGTGTTTCCGTTTTCTTTTCTACTTTTTTCGGATGAGCCGTCCTGGAATGGGTACGCTGGAAAAAATGCAAGCGCAAATGGGTGGGCTGTGTTTTTGTTGTGAGGCTGTCATTTGTTTATATCATTCAGGCTTGTTCAAAGGCAAGTCACAAGAAAACCAATCGTTTCGGGGGTACCAAGTTTAGAGAGAGGGACCCAACTATTGGCAAGGGATGTTAACCCAGTTGATCATCATATAAGTTTGTGGCAGATTGTTGTGGTGCATTATTCCTGCGAGTCACGTGATTTTTAGGGTTTCCCTGGATCCGACTTGCAATATTTGGGAAATCGACCAACACAAGGGATTCAGGGAAGCCGAACGCGGGGAGGGTGGTGGTTTGGGTTTGGTCGGCCGCCGCAACTCAAAAGAAGTTTGGGGATATGAAGATGTTCGAACAGGACGCCAGTGGATGCCCAATGCCCAAGGTGTTTCCTCACAATTTCTGTTTGCTTAATATATTTGTTTCTTCCACTTTTGGTTTTCAAAAGGAGTCTGCCACTACTGGGATTATTTCTTTTTTTTTTCAGGGGGCTTAAACAAATAGAAGACAATTCACAGGGTCGAAGTCGTTGCATCCTCATTCGTTCAGGAGCCAGTGGAGGATAGCCCCGCATTGCCCGAGCGTACAGTATTGCAGAGGGACGCCCTGGAGTGGCTACCCGGCGCAGTTCGGTGGCGCTTCAATTTCCCCCCCACTCACAGCTACGGGATGTCGTCGAAATAGGGGGACCCCCAAAAAGGTGGGTTTCCTGTCAATTTCCCTTTAAACCCACCAGAATAGAGTACACACGCACGGCCAATCCTCTTTGCGGTTTGAGGTTAGCTTCCTGAAGACCTCGGGAGGTTCTGTAACTTGGGCTTGCGACTTGATGAATGTGCCTTCCGGGGCCATTTCTTGTTTCAAAGTGAACCTGCAAAATGGTGCTGGAGGCCGATCTCAGGGGGCAGGTGACCAAGTGACCAAATTGGACAGGCTTCACCCAGTTCGTTTCTCTTGCTTCCCAAGGGCGATGGGGTTCGAGCGAGAGACTGAACAGGCAACCTGATTCTCCGAACTTTTCCTGGACGGCTCCGTTGTTCCCCCTGTACACAATGACGGACACATTGACATGTGCCTTGTTGTTTGGCCGGTGTTCTTGGTTACCCAGCTTTCTAATGTTCTATGAGTGGTGTGCGTGTGTGTGTGTGTGTGGTCGGTGTCTTGCACAGGTACCGTACTCCTACAGAAAGTCACCATGTTTGTCGTTGTTGTACTCGTGTTGGTTCCACTGAGAACATCAACACATGGGTTTTCCTCCTGTTCTTCTTGTTGGCTTGACTTCCGTCAGTTTGCTACTGAGCATAGCCAACACCTGCTTTTCTACTTCCTAATGACCAACACCCCTGTTGTCCTTGTTCCTTGTTGGTTGTGTAGTAAAGCACGACACACAGCTTCCTGGCCTCAACATATTCAATGAAGAGGAAGAACCACCACCATGGCAGAGCCGAGAAAGCAACCAGTCGAGGTTGGCCCTGAAACCGCCCTGTGCGGCACCCATTTTGCGCCATGTCAAGAACAGAGGTTTCTTGTCTAAAAACCAGGATCCCTTGCATCCGAGAGCCCTTGACGGGGACCGCCACAACGGGTTTGGATTTCTGGCAGTTTCAGGCTGAAGCAAAACAGCCCGATAAACCGGATGTGTTGAGAGGTGTGCGCCAACCAAGAACCAGAACTGCCGGAAATTGCCCGGTAAACTTATCGTTTGCGCGATTCCCCATCAAGGGCCGCCAAGTTTCGGGATGCGCGGCACCCAAAGACCACCCAGATTGGAAGTTAGCCCCATCGAGGCTCAAAGCGCTGGGGCCCAAAGGCTTGCCCAAGTGCAGCGTGGTCACCTCGTTGCCCGACTGGTCGGAGCTGAAGAAGGGGCCCTCCGACTGAAACGCTTCCCGCTGAGTCGCACCTTTCCCTTGCTTGCTGGTTTCCTGAACAAAATGCTCATCCCCGCTGGAAAAATGGGGGAGGTTCAACCTTCTTGGGAACAAACAAAGTTGTGCCCAATGTCCTTGTCCTTGCGCTCTTTACCAAAGGACATCGAGCCGCGCATGACCCTTTTGAGAACCCATGTTTCACCCTTGCTACCAGCTTTCCCACTGATAAGCCGAACGATCTAATAGTTCAACCAGTCGGGATGAAAGCAACAACAACAACAACAACAACAACAACAACAACAACAACAACAACAACAACAACAACAACAACAACAGCCACAGCCACAGCCACAGCCACAGCAACAGCAACAGCAACAGCAACAGCAACAGCAACAGCAACAGCAACAGCAACAGCAAAAGCAACAGCAACAGCAACAACAACAACAACAACAACAACAACAACAACAACAACAACAACAACCACAACCACGACCACGACCACGACCACGACCACGACCACAACCACAACCACAACCACAACCACAACCACAACCACAACCACAACCACAACCACAACAACAACAACCACCACCACCAACAACAACAGCAACAACAAGGTTGGACGGGGAGGGTTTGCCCGGGAGAACAATGCGAAACGGCCGGGGAGGGTTTGCCCGAAGAACAATGTCAAAGATCAAGTCATAAACACTGCATGGCTCCCACCCATGGAGAACGTGTTGTTTGGCCACCAAAACACCAAAACCTCTTTGCCCCAAACAGCTGTGCTTGGATACAGATCTGAGCGGGTGCACTTGAGCGGGTGTGCTTACCAGTTGGTGGGCTTGGATACAGTTCTGAGCGGGTGCACTTCAACGGGTGTGCTTACCAGTTCATGGGCTTGGATACAGTTCTGAGCGGGTGCACTTGAGCGGGTGTGCTTACCAATTGGTGGGCTTGGATACAGTTCTGAGCGGGTGCACTTGAACGGGTGTGCTTACCAGTTCATGGGCTTGGATACAGTTCTGAGCGGGTGCGCTTGAACGCGTGTGTGGGCTTGGATACAGTTCTGAGCGGGTGCGCTTGAACGGGTGTGCTTACCAGTTGGTAGGCTTGGATACAGTTCTGGTGGGCTTGGATACAGTTCTGAGCGGGTGCACTTGAACGGGGGCTTGGATACAGTTCTGAGCGGGTGCGCTTGAGCGGGTGTGCTTACCAGTTGGTGGGCTTGGATACAGTTCTGAGCGGGTGCGCGTGAACGGGTGTGCTTACCAGTTGATACAGTTCTTAGCGAGTGCGGCTTACCAGTTGATGGGCTTGGATACAGTTCTGAGCGGGTGCACTTGAACGGGTGTGCTTACCAGTTGGTGGGCCTCAGGGGGGGTTTGCCCGTGATTTTCAAGTCGCGCGCGCGATGTTTGGAAAAACGATGCCCGACGTGCGACTAATAACATCATGCTGACATGAAGATGTCGAACAAAAGCGCAGTCATTATTTGCGAAGAAATGCACATGCCCAGTGATATGTGTAAGATATGCTGCGTTTTACAGCACGTCGCGCACCCATCTGCCGCGGTATGTGCCAAGGCA